TATCGTATCGGAAGATAAGCGGGTTTAGAACAAAATGTTTTATACCTGCATTTTATTAAAAATCATTCGATGACCATACTAAAAAACAAATATTTTTATAACTAATTAAACACCTTTACTGCTCCGTGAATTCTTATGTGCAGGTTTTTATAGGCGGGTTTATAAGGCTGTGCGCACTTGTAGAAATTAAAACTTATTCTATACCGGTGTGTTATTATATAGTTAATTATCGCAGGTGAAGAATATATTATATTTAGACAAATATACTAGTCCGCTCAATTAAAGAAAATATGATCTAATTGTGTTTCTTGGCCAAAAACTTGATATAATCGTAACTCGCGACGCTGAATCGAATGGTGCATATCTTTTTGCAATTGGATGGCGCATTTATAAGAAAAAGGGTAAAATAGCGTAAAAAGCCACATCTTAGAATCTAGGCATTTAATCGAAACAAGTTTCAAACTAAATTTTGGCAAAATTGAAAAATACATAAAAAATGTTGTATAGTGTATCTTCGTATTTGTACAAATAAGCGAGAAATATTGGTAAAATTTATTTTAAGAGTGGGAGACAAGCCCCGTCTCTTTGTCGGTCTTTACAAACGAGCGAGTGAGAAAAGAAAGGAATATAAAAAATAAAAAATATAAGTTCTGAGTACTTAAGAATTATTATCCAATAATAATTAAATGCATATTACACACACAAATAAAGTAACAAGAAGATATTTCTTTAATTTTTCATTTTTAGAAATTGCAAATAAATCGTTTCTTTTGTGATCTGTTTTCATTATTATCATCGTTTCTGCTATTAGACTTAGTTCTTTTCTTTGCTCTTATTTGTTTGGTGTTATCACGTTCTTCGTCCTCGGATGTCTGATAATCTTGTTTACAACATATATCATCAACAGGACCTGTTGTTCCCGTTTCGTGAAATCGAACTGATGATAGACCACTAAATAAAAAGAAAATATTTATATTTATACATATGCAATATGTCGTCTTAATAAAGAATCAAAACGTACTTCTCTTTACGATAAAGTTCATAATAACCACAGCTATTATTTAGCTGAGCAAGTTTAACTAAAAATTTTTCATCGTGACTAATCACAATAAGTTGGAAATTCTTTTGATATTGAGATCTCGACTTTACAATCCTAAGAAGATAAGAAATTATAGTTTTATGTATTCACATTTACATTTGCTGTTATAAAAAATAAAATACTACGTACATATTAAGAGCATTTGCTAAACTATTTGCATTTTCTTCATCTAGATTTGTAGTTGGCTCATCAAGTGCAAGAATTCCACAATCTTTGCAAAAAGTTTCAGCTAATGCGAGTCTTATGATGATTGATGCTAAAACCTAAAATATTTGTTCATATATTAATACTCTGAATATAAAACATTAATTCATTATATATAATACATAAAACTATTTACTTTTTGGCCTGCACTACACCGTCCTCGCATATCCATTTCCCTTCCGTTCTTTGTTTGAATTAATTTATAATTGTAAGATCTACGCATAGCAGATCCTGTACCTATTGTATCATTTGTATGGATTTCTATAGAAGTTGTATCATTACCGATGTATATAGCTTTCCAAAGAGTCTTAATTATTTTATTTACACTCTCCATACGTTCTTTGTGATATTTCATCAATGCAGCATCTAATACCCTGGAGTATTTTCTTAAATCTGCAATTACTTGATTTTGTACCTAAATAATATTGTTCATAATAAGTTAAAATATTAATCTTTACGTAGGGACAGAAAATGCATTAAAACAAATATGTGATTGTGATTACCGTTAAGTCAATACATTTATCCATGTAATTTTTATGAGCTAATCTATAGCACTCCTTTTTAAGTTCATCATTATATTGCGACAATAGATTTTGTAATTCTTCTTGCTTTCCTATAGCTACATTTTTCTAAAATTATTTTGTAAATCTGTAATTAAAAATGATATTTGTCATTAAATTATTTATTTGAAATATTTTACCTTTTGTGACAAAATTTGTTCGCGATTTTGGAACTTTTTCCAATTTTCCGTCATTTCTTTGCGATTCATATTTTCGATCTTTTCATTCAGGTATTTATACTGTTGCTGTAATTCCTCTGCAGTAAATTGAAGTTTCCTCAATGTAAGATTATCACTCAAATCTCTTTTACGCGATTCTTGATGATTAATAGCATCTTTCAAATCTTTTATCTGTGTTTCTAATTTTTGTTTCTTAGTAGTATTTTCACTCATTTTTTCTTTAAAATCTTGTATTTCAAGTTCTAATTTCGCTAAAGTATCAGGAATATTGCAATTATCGAAAGCATTAACTGCATTCTGAATGTTGTTCAATTCAAATAATTGTCTTTCTCCTTCTGTGATTGTTGTTCTATCCATCTTTTCTTTTTCCCCATTTTCTTTCTAAATGTAAAGTAAAAATTAAATATAATTTAAAAAAATAATAAAAAGTTTAAAAGTTATAAAGCAAACGTAAATATATACTTTTAATTGATTCAATTGACAAACAGCTGTTTCTAAATTATTGTCTGCAGTCAAAAAATTATCTTGTAATTTTTGCACTGATTCTTTTAACATAGTTTGTCGTGAATTTAAATCCTCTTTTTTACTTTCAAGACTTGCCAAATTTTTCATATTTGATTCTATTTTCAATTGTTGTTCATATAACATGTTTCGCTTTTCACAAGCATGCTGATATTTTTCTTTATATGTATTTAATTCTGACTGTAAATGTTGTATTTGGTTGCGAGAATCTTTTAAAGAAACTTTCAATGAATTTCGACGAGCCTGTGCTTCGGAGACAGTTCTAGTGCTTTTAGCTTCTGAATAAGATATGATATACGTATAATAAGTATAAGTATATAGCAATAAAGTATTATATTATATAGTTTTCCTATTAATTTTATCATACCTGTTTTAGACATGAAATTTTCAATATTACATAGTTTTTCCTTAAGATTATTTGTCTCATCTATTAATCGATCCCAAAGCATAATATCTTCAAATAGATTTTTCGATTTATTCAACAAATCTTCAGGAATAGCTTTTAACTTTTCTTTTTCTAATATACTTGTTTGGTATTTTTTTATTTCTTCCTTTGTACTTTGTAAACTATCTCTGATTTTTACATTAGAATAATTTAATGAAGTATCATTTAATTCAAAATTTGATACTTAATAAAATAAAAATATAAATTGAATAAATTGATACAACTTACTCTAATAGAGGTAATTCAGCTTCTTCTAGTAGACTTATCTTCTCAATAATTGGTTTCAATTCTAACATACTATCATATTTATTTTGTTGCACTTTCAATTCAGTTTCGCAATTTTGAAGAATTACGGGCTGATTTTCGATTTCTTCTTCCATTTCTTTTATTAAAATATCAATATTATATGATTTATCAAAATTTCTACGGCACAAAGGACAACGAGGATCTTGTTTTTTGAATTGTTTCATGTATTCTTTATAAGCGGTATTTTGATACGCATACATCCCTCTTTTATCTTGGAGATCTTTTACTCTTTTCGATTGTAACAATAATATTTCATCAAAATCTTTATAATAGCAAATAGAAGATACTTTCTGTTTATTTGCTAAAAAGAAGAATTGCAATTTAGTAATAAACAATTGAATGTATAACTATATGTATGTATAGATTAGTCTATTGTTTATAACAATACTAACAATCTAATTCTGAAATTTTCTTTTCAAGTTCTTCTTTATTACATTTCAATGTTGTTTCTAAACTTATTAATTTCTGTTGTTCTGTTTGTATATCACAAGTTATTGTTTTTATACGATCCATCTAAAAATTAATATTATTAATATTTATAAATTATTTATTATTATATTTATCATATCACCGTTCAATAATGAGAGATATTAACAAAAGAATTCAATTCATACTAATTTTTCTTGTGCAGGAACCAATTTATCTTTTAGTTTGGTATGAGGTAACTTGTCAGTTTCAAGCAATATTTTAATTGCATCTTCATGTTTATTTTTAAAATTCTGTATTTCTTCTTCTTTTGCTTTCATTGTTGATTTGTGCAATGATATTTCAGCTTGTAATGTAGCATGTTTGTGTAAAACTTCTATCTCTTCGTCTAAAGTATTTATCTCAGCTTCCATTGCATCTCTTGAAGAAATTTCCGCATTTATCTGCTTATTGAGTGAAGAAACATCACAAGATTTGGAAAGATCTTGAATTGTTTTATTCACAAGTGCAACATTTTCTTTTAAAGAATTTAATTTATTGGCAGAAGCTCCAATCTAAAAATAAATAAGATGATATTTACATACACACACACACACACACACACACACACACACACATTTGTCTTAATATTTTTTATTACATTTCCAGTTAATTGACAGATACTAACCATAGAAATTTCATTTTGAATACTTTCTACTTGATTTTTTATTTCAGTAACTTCATTATTCTTAATAATTATCTCTGATTCTATCTTCGAACGTTCAGAACGTAATACATCAACTTCTTTTTGAAGTTCTTCCTCTGCCATATTTCGTTTCTGCTTTTTAACTTCTGCTGCTTGCTTGAGATTTTCTACCTTGTCTTCAAGTTTTTTAACAAGGATTCCTATTTTTTCAAATAAATAATTTATTGTTATTAGAAACAAACATTATATGCGTATATAATAAAAGTCATACCAGTATTAGATGAATCTGCATCAATTACTGTTTTAATATCCCATTTGGATAACATGTCATTAAGTATTTTATTACGATGAACAATTTTTTCCTCTTGATCTTGCATTTTTTGTTTTAATGTACCAATAGAAATTTTGTTCTCCGTTATTGCATTTGTTATCTTTGTTTCATTTGATGAAGTTCGTTGAAAATTTTCTTCTGCCTAGATAAAATGAATATTTATTTAAATAATATTAATGATCAATATAACAGATGAAATTAAATTGATTAGAGTTTTAATATGGAAATGATAATTTTTTTTTTTATGTTTATGTATATACCTCTGTTACTTCAGCAACTTTCTCTAATAAAATGCTATCATATAGTTCTAATTTATTAGATAATTCTCTCATGGTTCCTTTAAAAATCTGTATATTTTCTTGCAATGATTCAATTTGTGTTTTGTTTAAATCATATTCGAATTTCTTTTTATCTATATTGAAATTAATTTTTATTATCATTACAAAATTCACAATACTTAAGAAGGCAGTTGTCCTTGCAATGGAACCACCAAAGTGCAAAGGGCTAAGTTACATATTTTAAAGATATATATCGTACCTCTTTCATCTATTAATGTTTTATATTTTGCATCCATTTTTTCAAATTCTTGAATTTTTCCAATTATAGTCTCAAGTTCTTTATCGATTGTAGTTATTTCATTCGTGGCCTCTTCTAATCTGTCTCTAGTATTTTGAAGTTTTTTCTCTTTGTCTTCTACTTCATTAACAACATTTTTAAATGAATCTTTTTCTATTTTCAATACGCGTATATCTTGTTCTAAGTTTTTAATACATTTTAGATAATTCTCAAGCGCTTTGTTGAATCTTACGCTTTCAAATATCTCATCAAACTTTTCCTTTAATTTCTTTCCATCATCCAAAGGCCAATTAAATTCTTCTTGATGACAAAATATCACATAATTCAAGATAGATTTGGAAACACCCATTGCGTTTACTACTTCAGTATTAATATCAATACACCGGTTTGTTATTGAAACTGCCTACGTTAGAGAAAAATATAAAAGATACAAATAAAGTAATAGAATATATATAACGACAAATATATGTTTTAGAGATCTGAATAATTATTTACTTTGATTTCTCCCTTTTCTTTTCTACTTAGGGTATTGTCTACCCTTTTTAATTTGGATCCTGATTTACTACGTATACATTCAATCACTCTACTTATCGTGTAAGCATTTCCATTAGCGCTTATAAATTCAGCTTTAATGCAGCCTTTCACCTATAATAAATAATATTATTATTCATTATTATAATATTTCCTGTTATAAAAGAAAACTAATAAATAACAATGATTATAAGCAATTACATACTAAACAAAATTCTAATGAACTTTTATCATGAACAAATGATTTCCCTCTATCAGAACCTGGTGGAAAATCGCCAGTTGTGGCAAATTTTAATGCTTCTATCAAAGTTGTTTTTCCAGTACCATTTGGTCCAAGAATAAGTGTCAAAGGACGACCGAAACGTATTTTTGCTTGATCTTCATCGTCAAAATTTCGAACACCACAAATAGACAGTCGACGTATTCGAGACATTTTAGATTTTCTCAATTCAAATAAACAATATATTTATTATGAAATTTCAAAATTAATGTTCCATTAATTGAAATCTATATTAATATATATTAGATTATGAGATAATACTTTTTTAATATAGAGAATATATATCACACAATTTCGATTTTAAAATAATATTTTTATACATAGATTTTAATTCTATTAATTTAAACGATTATTTTTACATTTATTTCAATAAATTTAAATGGTTATTCCAATTCTAATCTCGGTTAGAACGAGTATTTTTCAGTTAGTACGAAGTACATGTGACAAAGTAATCCATTCAAACAAATCAACCAAAATTCCCTACTTCGGATTAGAGGAATTTTATATATTTTAGACTGTCATTGATTCAATTTGAACGCGAATTAGATTACTTTTATTATTTTGATTTTCAAATTTCATATAATTATATAGATATATATATAATAAAAATGAATGCATGTGTTGTATCAAATTGTTCAAAATAAACAAATCTCATTGGTCGTGACAAAAATTGCGTCTAACCTAAAAACTTGCAATCCGATTGGTCGAATTTTTAAAAGTTCCCCTAGATTATTTTTATTATTATTGTTATTTTTAAAATGAATATAAAAAAAAAAACAATTGCAATTAATAAAAATAAAACTATTAATGCTAATTATAAAGATAGTTAATATATGTCAACAAAAAACAAATTTATTAATTATTAATTAACTGAATAAAATATTAAGAATATTATTGAGATTGATATTATGAATACAATTTAGTTGAAATAAAACGATCGCTTTTAACAAAAGTTTTAATAAAAAATTTATTATAAATAAACGATAATTATAAAAGATAAAAGCTTCTTAAGGTATAAGAAGAGATAAAAAAGCAAAAATCAGATGATTTTCGCGAATTATTAATATGAAAGTTATATCTTACGTATTATTTTTATAGACGGGTCATAGAGAGAATATGTATTCCGATCTTTCGACAATAAAAATCTGCTTATTTTCATGTCGATTATTAAAACAGGCAAAATTAAATAAATAGTCATGTAAATTCGAATTAGATTTCTTACATCGGTAATACAACATTGATTACACAATACAACAACAACAAAAAAAACGGTATTTTTATCGTATTTATTATTTTTTTTTTCCTCTTTTTTTTTTCTTTTCTTTTTTTTTTTTTCTCGCGAAAGGTTGGCCTTGAAATATTTATTGCACAAGAAGAATCCATGAAGAAAAATATTTTACGAATGTGTATGATATATAATTAATTCGACTTGAATTAATGAAGTTAATGTAATAGGTTGTAACATATAATCGAATGCGTATAAACATTAAATGACATTTTTTCCCTATATATAACGCAAAATGATTAATCAAAAGTATTCCGAATAAATAAATATACACCTAAAAATCATGTAAATACGTGTCCCAAAGATGAGTCTCTCTCTCTCTCTCTCTCTCTCTCTCTCTCTCTCTCTCTCTCTCTCTCTCTTTTGGTGTGCGTGTATGTGTAAATGTGATTGATTGATTGATTGATTGATTGATGTATGTATGTATATATACAAATGCACTAAAAACATATAGATCTGTAATTTGTACCCTTTTTTCATTATAAGATCAAATACATATAATCTGCGGTAACCTTACATATCTAAAATACATATACATCTGATCGCAGGCTTATTTCTTATTGTTAGAATCTATTATATACAGTTTCAATAAAGTTTGTTTTTTTTTTTCTTTTTTTTCCTGTCATTTATTCGGGTGTTCTTTATTTTTAATTTTTTGTTTTTTATATTTTTTAATTTTTTTTTCTTTCTTTTTTTGTTTTTTTTCTTTTTCTTTTTAATAATATTGCTCTTCTCTCCTAACACGTTATGGCAGTCTTAAGGCAAAAATCTATATAATTCACACGAGTTCCTCCTCTCTGCATTGGTAACTCTTTCTTCATCCCTTTTTGTTTTTTTTTTTTTAAATTGGCCTGAGTCTACGTAGTAAAGAGATCAATGTGTTAAGTAATCGAGATTAATCTTTTTTTTTCTTTTTTATTCTTCTAATGCAGATGCATGCGTTTTTGCATCTAACTCATTCGTTTTATTTTGTTTTGTTTTGTTATTTTTATCTAAACGAGCTTGCTTGATCAACGATACTAAGTTTTTTTCTCTCTTTCTTTTCTTTTACTTTTACTTTTTCTTTTTTTCTTCTCGTTTACACTTTAATCAAAATACAAGATGTACTTTTTTTTTTTTTTTCATATCCGATAGAAATTGATTAAATTGCCAATACTCGCGTTGAAAGTAGGTTTCCAAAAACACGTCAGGAACGTTTGACCATAACGTATATTTAGTTAACTTCAATTCAATTCCTCTCTCTCTCTCTATCTCTCGCGATTTTTTTTATTTAAAATAAATAATTGTTTTCATTATGTATTATATTATTTCAAAGATAATCGGTTAAGGCTCCTCTTCCTAAGTATGTCAATTATTTATAATCATTCAAATGAAATCTTTAGCGTTAGATGATTTATTTTTATTTAACAACTTGATGATATGTCAGCTATAAAATCAAGTTTAAGAAACTATCGAATAACAAAGTGTCTACTATTAATATACGTGTTATTTTTTTTTGCTCAAATGACAAAGAAGCAGAAGCCGTTCATTAATGTTTTTGTTTTTTTTCTATTTTTTTTTTTGTTTAATTTCTAATTCGAAGAGAAGCCTTACGTTGGCTTCGTTTGATACTGAAGATAATGAAAGATTCTTCCTCTATCGATTTACAGATACTTTCGATACGTTCTAACTAACATAAGATCGATTAAAGGGGATAATGTATAAATTCCATATGAAGCCATTGAAAATGAATGGGCGCCCTGCACCCAATATGCTACTTTATAGATATATTTCAAAAATTATATACGATATAAGTTTATATTATTATTTTCTTTTTCTTTTTATTCTTTTTGAAGTTATAGTTCTTTTGGCGCGCGTTTTGGAAAGTGAAGTTAGATGCGACCGAAATATCAACACCACGAACTTGTCGATATTTACGATGCGCGGGCAAATTGAAGTTATTTTTCAGGTTATTGAGGTTATATTCGTTTTGCTAACTAAACTAAAGAAGTATAACTTCTTACGTGCGTACACATAAGTACGTAAAGTAATTCAGTTATTTTTCTTCATTTTCTTCTTGTTATTTCTTTTTTTTCAAATCGTTATAAGTAATACAGCTATAAGTATATTACATTGAATGTTTTAAGCGAAAATTGAATGTTCTAATGTTTTTGAGGTATCAATGATTTTCTAATATTTTAAATCTAATAAGGCTTTAATAAACGCCTCGTGATATGTTTACGTGATGATGTACTACTAATTCGTGTGGTCCTACGTATTATTTAAATTAAGATATTGAAATTTGAAAAATCACTAGATTCTAGAATAAAGCATCGATAAAGTGTGTTACGTTACCTTTAATAATGAATGACTTCAATTAACTTACTACAAATGGATGAATTAATACAATTAGCAACAATTCTTTAATCTCCTAAGGCACGGTTTCTGCTTTTTTTTTCATTTCTTTTTATTGTTCTTTTTTGTTCTTTTTCCTTTGATTCTTCACTTTAATCTTGTCGTTTAACGTATCTAAAGTTCAGCAAAGTAGAGGAAGTATGGCGATCTATATATAGTAAGTATACTTACATAGTAATTCATTTCTCAAAGTGTAGCTGCAAGAACTATAACAATATTTCTATGAATCATTGCAGTGTGCTATTAGACACATTGATTAATGTTGTTTTTTTTGTTTTCCTTTCTTACTATTTTGTAACGATAGGTAGGGAAGGAGACACTGTATATAATTAATATTTACAATTAAAGATGAATTTTCTTTGGCATATGAAATTAAATAAGATCACGAAGATTGAAATTACTTTGGGACGGAGCTCCTTTCTTTTTTTTTTTTTTTAAAAAAGGTGGCGAGTACGGTGAACATCATCCCCCATTCATTTCTTTGATTTTCTTTTTTGATTTTTGTCATTTTCTTTCTTTCTTTAGATTTGACATTACTTTTTTTTTTTTTTATGTACTGACTTTATTATCGATATATTCGTCGTCCTCGTCCGCGTCCGCGTATTTAATTTCATTCTCAGATTCTCGAATTAAATCGTAAAAAGATTCGTGCGATTCGTCCTTCATATCAGTTTCAACGCCATAATCGGGACTTAGAATTTCTTCTTGCGGTACAATTATCCTTTTCTTATCTACCACCTGCTGCTGCTGCTGCCTGTGCACTTTAACCGGTGATTTCAAACAACCTCGTGACAATTCCGTCATAGGAATATTAACGATATCTAAATTCTTGTTATTTTCGCAGCAGGCTTGAGTGAAATTAGTGAAATCTTTGTACTTATATTGCATAACATTCGTTAGATCTAGATTAGATAGCAAAGATTTGGACTTTTCATTGTCCTTCGCATTATCATTCGTATTCTGTTCGTTAATATTTTCATTAGGAACGATTAATTCCTCGTTTTTCTTCTCGTCAGTTTGAATGACACTATTTTTTGGTTTATATCCAACGTATGACAATAATTTGGAATAACTAGAATCCGAACGATTACGTTTAACGTTCAATGGTGATTTAACATTCTTATCTTTATCATCTACCTGGACGATATTATTATCGACACTATTAACATTGGTAATACCACCACATCGATTATTATCTTTCGACGAATTCGGAAGATTCGTTTGTTGTTTTTGTTCGATCAACGATTGATCGAAAATTTTGTCTGACGATACATTAGTTTCTGATTTAGAAGTAGGAGTTGTATTATCGTAAAGTCGATTCGGAATAATATTTTGAATTATCGTTCTATCTCTAAATGCCTGACTGGACAACGATTCCTCGCTCACTCTGATTCTAGAATCTTCGAGTATTCGATGAATAGGAAGTAGCCGTTCAATCAACATTTCCTTACCATCATAAGAGTCCTCATCCGAAAGAAAGTTTCCTTTGGATTCACATTTCTTTAATATATCATCTTGATGTTCCTCGGTATTAGGACAAATACCTAAATTGGATTTGGATTCGCCAGGTATCAACATTTTCATTCTTCTATACTCGCTTGGAGTTAAAGTAGCTCCTTCCGTATCTAGCACCAGTCCTTCTCTTCCTCCTAGTTGTCCTTCCATCATCAAACGACCGTCTACATTTTCCATGGGAATGATATCAGAATCCGAAGACAACAACGGTGGTATCCAGACTAAGAAAGCTGGGTCCATACCCAGATAGGAACCAGGAGCTGCACCTGCATTCGCAACATTGTAGTCATAGTAGTCCAATTCCAAATCCATTTCGGGATTAATTATACTGTATTCCGATCCTGGCCCGTGAAGTAAACGTTCCCGATTTCTACGATCTTTCGTTTCCTTCCCGGTACGCAAAGTTGGGACGACATTCGAATACATTCGTACGGGAGAGTATTCCTATTGTTAAACAATGAAAAATACTAGCAACAGTACCTCTGACGTTTTCATTTGTTATTTTAAAGGAATTTTTGTAGTTAATAATCTTACCTTGCCTCGCAAAACAACATTGCTCGTAGGATCGTATTGACGTAATTTTCCATTATTCGTATTATCTTCCGATACTATTTGAATTTTATTATTATCGTCTATCGTTGAATCTTTATCTAAGGTAGGACTTTGCAATCCTAACGTTCGTAATCTAATAACGTAAACATTGATTATTAATTATTTCATTTCATTTTTTCTGTTACAATAATCAATTTTTCTTTTGTATACGTGGAATACTTACTTCACTGGTCTGGCATATTTCACTTCAGGCTGACCAACAAAAACGATATTCGACATGAAAGATACGCTCTCGGTAATGTCCTTGCTAGAAACTATAGTATTTTGTGAGCCACTAGTTTCAGAATCATTTAACTTCAATGTACCTGATTTTTCAGTAGTTTCATCCTCGTATCTATCATATATATACATATAATATTTTTTTATTTATATTATTATTTAATTGTAAGAATATTAATAAATTTATTTAATCGATAAGATATTTTACGTACTCTGCTTGTGTCTCAGAACTATCATAATCCTCTTCAGCTCCGCAAGATGTGCTTTCAAGTTTCATATGATTGGGTGTACCTCTTCTAGATAATCTGACCAAAGAAACAACTTCGGAGATTAAAGTTGCGGAAGATAAAGTCTTCTCGCGTCTGACTGTATTTGGTCCAGAATCGCTACATACTAAAGAAAACAGAAAAAAAAAAAAAAAAAAGAACAAAAATAAAATTGATGTTTAAGTAAAAGAATGGTTCGAAACGATATACAGGCAGGGTGTCCCACGTAACTCTAGTCACGATTTTTCACGATTTTTCACGATTTTTCACGTACCTGCGATAACCTGAGCAAGAAAATACTTTTAACAAAAGTTCATTTGTTTTCAATTGCAATAAAAAATGTTGGAAAAAATGATTGCTTTTTTTTTTTCTAACGTTTTTTAAGGCTACCTTTATTTTTTTATTGCAACGTATAGCCAATCAAAACCAGATCAACTTTTGTTTAAAGTTTATTTTTGTATTGTCTTGAAACAGCTTGTATATTTATCGTCAGTTTGTTTAAAACTCACCGGAATATTCGCTCAAATTATCCAAATCTTCGGCGATATGATATTTCCTATATTTAAAGGCAAATTGCAATGCTAGAGAAATAGATATGAAAAATATTAACATTAATAGTGACGCCGCAACTAAATGGGCGGGTGTCATCCAAAATATCCATTCACCGACAACGGACGTGGAATTATGTTTAAAAGGCACCGACATTAACGTTTCGTTCCCTTCTCTTGGCTTATCTACAAACAAACAATAAATTACAATAAAACAATTGCAATTTTTTGAAGTGAAATTTCCATATTAATACTAAATTTTGTATATATAAATATTTTGATATAAATATGTTACAGTAGGAATTTGAAATTGAAATTGCAAAAGACCCAGTGATTTGGATTGGTTCTGATAAATCCAATATTAATAATACATTTGTAAATATACGTACAAATAATGACAGCATGTGCTAGGAAACCACCGACGCAAGATTCGCCAGCCGCTGTTATTTCGTCGCTGAAGAATTCTAACAATAAGTGTACACCGGTAGAAATAATTGTCCTCGTTGATGGAAGAGATTTATCAAAGGCAATATCTGTTAAAAGATTCGCGCTCAATGAATCGCCATCGCGTACGCGAAAATATTGTCCTGGGCATGGAAATTGTGCTTGATCTACGTGCAATCTGACTAGGAAGTTTTGCCTTGCCTGTTGTAGATTATATGCATCGAATAAAATTTCAATGAATGTCAGTCAACGTCGACAATATTTGCTTTTTTTCCTTTACTTTTGTTATTCAATATACTATTGTTATTCAAGAATGTACTTACCTCTACCAACCAGAAAGATCGGCCAGGACAGGCCTGCGTATTGGCTGCTAACATTTTTCTCGATGTTTCCTCCCCTAACGTGATCAAACATCCGCAACGACATTTAACTCCGATTTGTGCGGTAACTTCCGGTCGTATAGCAGCTAATTCGGTACCATGATGACAATCCCAATCAGCCATATTCCATGTATCCCGTAAACCAAGCCATAACGATCCACCACAGGATTCCGTTTCAACGGCTTTACCCTAAAATCAAATAAACAATTATTACGAATACTGATGAATACTTAATTATTTGATAAATAAGAGAAAAAATATTAATCTCTTATGTACCTGACAAAATTTAGTATCGTATCTAGGTGGTGGATTGTCGCAAAATCTATAACGATTTCTAATTCCACCGATGCACGAACTGCTGCATGGTGTCCATGGACTCCACGAACCCCAACCACCGGCATCGTTTTCTATAAATATTCGAAAAAGAAAAAAAACAAATGAAAAAGTGTTTTACGATTGGTAATCGATTTTTTGAAGTTATCCTTCGTTTTATACGAGTGTAGTTATATCGTGAAGTTAGATGCGATCGAAAAATCAACACCACGAACTTGTCGATATTCAAACGATGCGCGGCCAAATTGAAGTTATTTTTCAGGTTATTACGCTAAAGGTATATAACTTACGCTAAAGAAGTATAACTTTTTACATGCGTACATAATTACAGACGTCAGTTTTTTTTTCTGTAATAAATTCTGTAAAAAAATATAATATTTCTTACCTTTGAATGGAAACGTTGGAATACAAGAAAGTTTCACTTCGGCCATGGCACCTGTTATCGCTTGACTGACATAAACGAAACAATATTCGATAAATTTTTCCTTAAATATGTCGCATTCGAAGTTCAACGTGTGTTTCCCCGGGACAGCTTTGAGTTCCGCTATGTAATGAAGGGTGGAAGGTGGTGCAAGCGATTGAACATTTGCCCTAAGACGACCATAAACTCGCACACGATCACCTTGAAGTCGACAGGATGGATATTCGAATATAACTGGTACTCCTCTTGGTCCTTCACATGGATAAATTGATCGTGCATGAACACTGAAGACAAACTCTTCCGACCAATCGACCTACGTTAACACACACACAAATTCATTAACATTTTTATACGATATAAAAAATAATAATCGATAAAAGAAAGATCAGTGTACTTATTTATTTATTTGAATGATTTCCATACGAATTATTATCTGTTCGATCAGAATTATTCGTACCAAATGATACATTTATTAAAGAAATATCAACTTACTTTGATATATGCACTAATCGTAGGTGCATTAGGATTAACTGGTGATGCTTTTAATCTAATAGCATAATCACCGGCAAGCCCAAAATATTCGCAATGTAGAATAATATGCTTCTCCGTTGGGAATCCTTTTACTTCTTCATGATAAAGTATCTACGATCAAGATTAATGAAATATTATATACATTAATCGTTTTTATTTACTATTATTTATAATAGTATATCTAAATTTTATATATTATATTTTGATTATTACTTGAACGCGACTTTTGTTTTGTGGATCGCATGCTACCGTACTGGAACCGCAATAAATTAATTGTAACGTGTACACCGCAGCTGGAACCTTTTCCGAAGGTTCGCAAAAGATTTCTTTGTACCTTAACGTAGCCGATATTGATACGTTTGGATAAGTTGTAAATCTTTGACGTTCCAAAAATAATGACGGTGTTGGCCACTTTACGTCTAAAGCATTGCTCATCTGAAAATAAATGTATATTTAACATTTAATGTCTGTAAAGATACTTATCTTCAAAGAAAAATTCAAATATTGAATAATCGATACCTGAATGGTCGACAAATCAGCGATATCGGTTATCTTTGACGGTATTTTGGAAAATTTATATTGCAATTGCAAAGTATAAGTGCCACCTCTTGAAAAATATCCGCATGGTATCGTCAAGGTAACATTTTCACCTTTTTCCGGTAAAGTATCCAACGGAAATTCACCGATTAATTCCGATGTTAACCCATTCAGAAATAATACTCTATCGATAATTTATAGAAAAATAGATTAATATTTAATAATACGAACAATATATTATATAAGTCGTAACAATTCGTTCGATACATTCGAGGACGACGAATTTTTTTGTTAGACTTTTAATACGACTAAATAATTTCAATTGCTAGTAGACATTTTATTATTAGTGAACATGTATGTATATATTATATATATATATACAAAAAAAAAAAAAAAAAAAAAAAAAAAAAAAAAAAAAAAAAAAAAAAAAGAAAAGAAAGAGATAAAAATAATGTTACCTTAAAATAAGTGGATTATTCGTAATCGAATGAAAACTTTCAGTAGTATTTTCATCAACAATTTCTTTTTCTTCCGTTTGTATTTCGTTCGGAATAGTTGAAAATCTTTCTTGAGATGATTCTAATATAAAAATTGTTAAATCACCGGACAGTGCAACGTGAGATGCTGGAACTATGACTTTTAATAAAATTGGTGGTTCGTTGATACTCGCGATTGATCTTGATGTACCTACAACGATCAAACGATCGATCAAAATCTTTCATAAATATTTCTTTATTCTTTTTCTTTTAACAAATACGTAAATACAAATAGAGAGTATGGATAGTGTGCATGCTTGGTTTAATGACCCGTGCGAATAAGCACGCAAAGTAATTACCACAGTTAAGGAGAAGAAGAATCAATACTCCTAGCGTTGACCATTCGAATGACCAAGTCATCTCCACTTCCTCAACTTGTATTTTTGTTTTTGTTTTTGTTTATTCTTTTGTTTTTTATTTTTGCTTTTTTTTTATTCCAGACGATGATGATACCTATAAAATCATTCGATGTAGCTTTAAATTACGTTTATTGTACAATCGAATTCGTGTGTACGCGTTTAATTTATTATTATTATTATTATTATGAATTATATGTCATTGTTTTATTAACGTTTTATAAATTGTGTGTACCGATTAATTTCGTTGTCTCCTATAGAAGAAAATTATTATTACATTTTCTTGTGTGCTTATCTTCATGATGACGATTTATTACGAAAAAATCTTCGTGATCAGGCGATACTTTTATCTGTGTTTTTTTTTTCTTCTTTTTTGTGACACGAAATAATGAAAATAATTAAATGAAATAAATAAATGAAAATTTTTATCAGGTGTTGCAACGTTTGTTTGTTTTTCTTGTTTCCAATTTAATTTATATTTTCAACGTCGTATTTTCTCGTCCAATTTACAACGGTACGGTGTTCCCTGTTACGTTTCACACCTTGCGTTGTTGCCTGACAAGAGTAGACAGATTCATTACCGCCATGTTGAAAAATTTCTGTGGTCATTCTGGGCATTCGATCTTCGCCCAGAGAATCGGTAGAATAATCCTTTTATTTTATTTTATTTTATTTTATTTTATTTTATTTTATTTTATTTTATTATATTTGTTTTTCTTTTTTCTTTATCTCCTATACGAAATGTAATTTGATTGATTCACTCTTCATTCGTTCATTCGTTAAGTACGATGGATTCGCAGACTACTGATTTTTTCCTGTTAGGAATATGTAATTTAAAAAAATATAATGCATTATTGATGTGTGTAAATGTTTCATTATTAAATCAAATTCTATTATCAATTAATACAATTTGGTAATTAATTATTTACACGTCGTAGAATATGTAATATCTTTTGGAAAAAAAAACAAAATAGAATATTCCATCTGTAATGATAGGTAACACTTTGTTTAAATTTTTTTTACTCTACTTATAATTATATATCATAACGCTAAGATTATCAATTTCCGATATCGTAAAAAGACCAACTGCAACACAACTTGCAATTAAACGATGAACTGCGTATGTCAGATAATAATATTTAAATATGCACGCACATAAATATGATAAGAAAAAAGTGAAGTACGTTGCATAATACTTGTATCGAATCTTACGTTAAATCATTTTCTTTTTTTTTTTTTGTTTTTTGTTTATATTAAATTTATTCAATAATTTATACAAATATTATATTACGGAATTGCGAATGATATTACATTACAAGAAGCAATGATATTACATCACATTTATTACGTTATTATTTCAACGATATATTATATTAATATAACAATTCAATTAAAAAACGTATCATTTAAAAATAATTTCAAATATAATCCTCATAAACGATTTGAAATAGGATTCGTTGAAGGAAACAAAAAAAAAAAGAGACAAATCTTCACTTACGTTTATTGCATTCCCCCTGTCATACGATACACACTGGTATACATCAATTTTCTCAATACGAAGCTTTCCCATTGTGATAGAGAAATTTACGTTGAAATCCCCATAAAAAATAAAAAAGTGATGATACTTTGCAGAAAGTATTTATAAAAGTAAACGATATTCAAACGCGTCCACGTTTACATATATATATATATACATATATATAATATAAATATCGTTTCTCTAAGAGGGTAATAAATCGTATGGTGTATGAAAGGACGAAAAAGAACGATGGTATAATCTAGTGAAGTTCTTGACAGGGAGAAGAGAAGAGAGAAGGGCAATGGTAAGCCGTAGAGTTTACTGGAATCGATATCGAAAGGCGTACCGGATAAAATTACAAACGTCACGGGAGGAGTACATGCTTCTTTTATTAAAGTAATATCTCATTTTATCATTAAAAAAATATATAAAATCGATATTTCTATGTTCACGATACTCGTACGAATTAATACAAGTGGCTAAAGCCATAAGTGTTTAGTAAATAATCTGATTGACTGTAAACTTCAACGACATGGATGATGATAGACTTAGTTTACGGGGGTTTCAACGTGAAAAAGAAGAACAACTCCGTCTAGGTGACGCGCACGTTCGCAACTAAAGTTGGGGTAGACGAAGGCACCCCCTCTTTTTGCCAGTAATTCCCACCCCTTAGTCGCAGGGGTGCCGCTGCCGTTGCCACCGCCACCACCACCACCACCACCACCACCACCACCACCACCACCACCACCGTTTGTCGGGGGTGAGCATTATGACAGAAGGCTGCCTTCAATGAATGAACGCATGAACGACTACGATTCGCACGAGCCACACTCTCTCTCTCTCTCTCTCTCTCTCTCTCTCTCTCTTTCTCTCTCGGCAATTACGTTTTTCATACTTGCGAAAGAAAGTATGAAAAGGGTCGAACAATTAGTGCTTCTCTTTACACTATATATGGGTACACCCAATAACGCACGACTACGAAGAGTACTATTCCTTTTCATAGAAATAGAATCGTCGAGTGGATTGTCCTCTTAAATCTGACTAATTGGACTTGCTTTTTATGTATGTACACGAACGAACTTTTGAATCATTTCTTTTTTTCTATTTTTAGAAATTAAAAGTACTTCGTTAAAAGAGAATTAAGTTAGAGGAGAAATAATATGGAAGAAAATATTTTCTTTCCTACGAGAAAAGTTTTCAATGTTTTTTTTTTTGTTATTTTAGGAAATAAATAGAAATTAAAATGAGAAAGACTGATGTAATAGTTAGATTACGAATATGGCCAGATTCGCCAATCTTTTATATGTCGATCACAATTAATATAGTCACATATCGATAAATATCTATCACATAAATTATAAAATTAAATAAATCATTTTTCGTAAAATAATATCAATTATATCGTACTATGTATATATATATATATATATATGTATTTAATGGATATGAATTGTTGGCATGATTGCCTACGATTAGGTAGCAACGATTCTGTTATAGTTGCAAATTTATTTGCATGATAAAATTGAATTTTAAAAAAAAAAAAAAACAATTTTATGAGAGATTAACTCCAGTAGCACGAGAAACTTTTAGCATCTTTATATTTAACAAATTTTTTTGAAATTATTATTATTATTATTATTATTTTTTGTTATTTTTTGATAATTAGAATGATCTATTAAAATTTAATATTATTTTACTTATACTGAAAGATCATTAAAATATGTATTAAAATTGTAGATTAACTGATTATTTTCACTGTTAAACAATTATTCGTAATTCTAATCGTGAATTTAATATTGCACAAAATTTCTATTCACTAACTAAGTAGGTCCATAATATCTTGATTAGATAAATTCGTTTTTGCTTGTGTTTGTAAATTAGATTGTGAAGCCATTGGCTGAAGTATCTCAGAATTAACCTTTGACCCATATTCTGCCATCTTTGTAAATTCTGTCTGTGAAGTCCAATTTGACTTTAAATTGTTAGGAGACGTCATCATGTTCCATGTGCTTTGAGTCGAATTCCAATTAATAGGCGAAGCTGTATTCTTCGTGGTCCAATTTATCATTTGACTTGACATTGGCGATGTTAACAATTGTGAATTTAATTGATTTGGATTATGATTGTTCCATGTTGCATTTAAATTTTGACCAATATAATTTGATTGGGAATTTGGTGACTTAGATGCAGATAAATTTAATTCATCTAAATTATTTTTCAATAACGTTGCTGTTAAATCTTTAGCTTGTGCTTTGGGAGTTGATGAAATTGTTTTCGGCGTTAATGGCTCTTGAGATTGTAATCTTTGATGAGTTTCTTGTTGTTGCGCCAATCTAAAAAATAGAAATATATTATAAAAGTATATACTACATTATGTATATTTTGTTGTTTGAATATAAAATTAATTTGATATTTAATATAACATTCTTTTTATGATTGTGTACCTTAACTTTTCTTCCATTGTTAATCCATTTTCAATAACAACAGATTGTTTAAGTACATTTGCAGATGGTTTTTGTGGTGTTACATCGATATCATTTAATATATTTTGTTGCGGGAATGTAATTTGTGTTGCTGCTGATAATTCCTTTTCAAATTGTTGTGTCTCGCGTCTTACGGCGTCTAATTGCTTAAGAGCTTCTCTATGTTCTGTAGTTACTCTATTAATCATATCAATCACCAATGTAGAAAGTGTTTCAAATTGTGATAAGCTAAGATTTTGCTCTACACATAGTGGCAACAAAAATGGTAACACTTTTGTTGCTAATATTTCTTTACTAATGCCCATTTTACTATGCGTTAATAATAATCTATATATTCCTAAAAGCAAATTAAGCATATTGAATTACAGATATGTAACAGAGAAAAAAGTTATACTATAAACAATAACATACCTATAATAGCCATTAGAATAGCAGGTTCTCCCGTATGAGGAATTTCTTGAAGAAGTGGCAATATCTCATCGTAAACCAACCAACGGTCAAAACTTGGTAACATTTTTGCAAGACATAATAAACAGTTGACACGAATTCCTAAAGTTGCACTATTATGGCCTTTTTTATTTAAACAAATCTTTTTTATCCTAGGTAACATTGCATTTTTCATAACTGGTCCTTCGATCATAGTTACTATATTTGGCAGTGCCGTTAAACAAAGTTCTTGAAGTTGTTCCCAACCTGATTCTAAAGCGCGTGTAAGCATAGGAACTATATCACTTTTAATAACATCCGCTGGACACAATTTTAAAAGTAAATTTACTTGCTGCATTAACACGAGACTGATCTGGAAAAAGTAATGAAATTAATTAGAAAAAATGTGTAATAAAATGATTAGTAACAATATCATTAAAAAGACTTTTACCTGCGGTGGATCCTCTAATGCAAGAACAGGTTTTAAATTAGGAAGAATATGTTCTCTGAATTCTTCTACTTGACAACATTCCATAACTTGCAAAATACTTGGTAATACAAATGGGATCATTGGTGGGTTTACCAATTCTTTATACAATGACGGTAATACTCTATGAAGTATGACACGATGTGGTATTTGCTTTAAAACTTTTGGAAGACCTTTATAAAATTGTGACTTTTGGAGATTATCCCATTGAAATAATTTATCCAAATAATTCAATGTTTTTACTCCGATATCCATAAAATATTCAATCTAAATGATATGATTATAATTAAAAAAAAAAATAAATATATTACATTTATATATGATATAATTATGTTAATATTTAGAGAAAATATTGAAAATAATATTGAAAAATAATATTGAAATATAATATTCACCTTAATAAATTGATGAGGATCTGGCCTTAATTCAGGGCTATGACTTAACATTAGCTTAGTAGTATCTCTAAGATTTTCTGGAACTGAAAATAATTTAGACGACACAGCAGATCCTTTAAAATTCTCTAAGAAACGTTTACACCTGGACAAATCATTTTGTGATTCATGAAGTGGCCGATTATCTGGAGAATGTATAACATAAATTAACATGCCTAAAGAAAATATGTCACTTGATGGACTATTACTGCTTGCCAATATGCATTCAGGAGCTTGATAATCTAATTGGGGACATGTTAAAGACGGAGCAGTAGGATCATATTCTGTATATGACCAACTTGGCTAAAAAACAAAAATGATAAATATAGAATAATAAATAAATAGAAATGTAATTCTATACTTATGATTTATTCAATATTATTTACCTGTTTACTATCTGTATTTTGATTCAAGGCACAAAAATCAAAACCAAATACTTTCCATACTCCATGCGAATTAATAACTATTGATTCGGGACATAAATTTCTATGTAAAAGCTTAACGTCACCATGTAAAAATGCAAGTCCTTCCCCAAGTTGTAAGAGTCCATAACGTATTTCGATGTCGAGTAATTTATAATTCCTTAGATTTGATGGAAGTGGTTGGGGAACATTTTCCATATTACCTAACGCATTAGCCAAGCTAGCAAATACTGGTTCTGTTGCAAATGCAAGACTGTCTCTGGATTCTTCGAGTGGATGTTGAACGGTTAATATTTGCGGATGTCTTAATTTTGTTAACTGCATTATTCCTCGCTTTAATGTTTCTAACACAAGCTCTCTATCTGTTTTTGATGACCATCTTTCTAGAATACGTTTCTCAAATACAAATATAGCAGCAGGTTGTTTCGTTGACTTTTTGTAACCATTATAAATCTTCCATAATAATCCTGGTCCTGCGCTAGCTATATGAGCAGTAACTTCAAATTCTCTAGTTACAGGATTACCAGGTAGAACACTGGACAATTGTGAAAGGCCATATGCTGTATTATGAACAGTATTAGTAATAGTATTGCTTACAGTGTTCCTTAGTTTTGTCAGAACGTCCATTTTAGTATTTCTAATTAAAACGTTGACAAGTCATACAGTATTTTGGATAATTTCAATAGATTATTATTCCTTCCGCATAAAGATAAATCAATTTTCTTAATACTTTCCTTTTCCAAATTCAATTTCAATATAATTTACTAATTGTCCGATTTGTCACTAATTGATCCGATTGACACCGATTTGACAACTAAGATGATACTGCTGTATCGTATGAGTCACATGTAACAATTATCTTCTATATTTGATTTCTTTTTATGCAGAACAAGTTTTGACGTATTCAACAAATTGTAGTTTATCGAAAAGATAATAACTTTGAAAATAGACCTCTTACTACTAATAACTTTATAATTATCACTTAAATATTATATAGTATATCATTATTATTTTTATGAATAATTTATTAGTTTATCTTGTATCATGACAATTTACAGAGGTATATAAACTTATTGTGAAATTTTGTTCGGTCTATAGACAACTTCAGAGAGATACTTTACCGCCCAATTTTCAAATTTTAACATTACTATCGAATTCATAAGAATCCCACGTAAATTTAAAAAATTTCTACCCTTTGTTTCGTTTTAAATTTATCAGAAATATATTTTCAAGATTAATTCAATATTATTAAAATGAATATTATTGAATTATGTCAAAGGATATCGCGTTATTCTCTTTGCATATAAATATAATATAATTGGTCAGGTAACATTAACACTTTCAAATATGTGAAGAAAATAACAAGATATGAAATATGTAACAATCCTTATACATTTTATAATTTTAAGAAAATTTTAAGAAAATTTTAATATATTTATGTCGAATTGAAATGTGCATCACACAAATGTAAAAAAAAAATCAATATTTTTTATTAAAATTAACTGTTATCGACAGAGTCAAATAAAATTGCTTACTAGATGTCGTTACGGTTAAGACACTGAACATTGCGTTTAATCTAATATAATTGAACTTTACACATGGCCTAACCTCTGTTAAGTGTATAAAAATATTAATCTTTTTTGTAATTTTTTTTAAAAAAGATTCTATATAAATTTAAGTGAAAATGTCAGCATTGTTTTTCGATGATAATTCCGACTCTGAGGAGGAATTTCAAGTAAATACGGATTATGCTCAGAATTATGATAATTTCCGCAAAAAGGAAGAACTTAATAAATGTGAGTATTCACAAATTGATTTATTGTCCTATATAATTTTAACTAACAAGGAGATCTTACGACTACCGTGCCCGTACAGATTTTAACGAGCTTTGGTATATTAGTAATATACCTTTAGGATGTTAATATTGTATCAAAATGCTTTTAAAATTTGGAATTGTTTGTATACATATTTATATTATATTATTGGGCTTCGCATTTTGATAAAATACTTTAGCACGTTAACACCCTAAAGGTATATACTACTAATATAAATTCGTAAAATATAAACTCGTTAAAATCCGTGAGGGCACAACCGTAAGATCTCCTTGTAAATGTTATTTAATATTTTTCATTTGTATCGATAATTTAGTGAAAACAAAGTATGGAGTAGATTTGAGTACTGCGACAAGTTTAGGTAATGAAGATGAAGAAGAATCGGATTCTAGTTCTAGTTCTTCGGAAGATGATAGCGAAGAAGGAAATGTATGTATCAAATGTAAATATTAATAACAATAACTTTTTAACTAATTTCATATCAATTAAATTCTAGCAACTGAATGAAAAATTTGATAAAGAATTTTATAGAACGTTAGCTTATTTAAAAAAAAAGGATCCTCTTATTTATGATAAAAAGACAACATTTTTTCATAACATAGAAGATCAAGTGGATGAAGCGGATCAAAATGGAGAAGAGAAAAAGAAGAAAAAGGATAAAACAATGTTTTTAAGAGATTATGAACGTAAAATCATTACTGAAAGGGATGGCAAGTATAGCGATAGCGAAGATGAAATTCAAATCGAACAGAAAAAAGATCCAACGTATTCGGAGGAACAACGTTTACTTAAAGAAAGTTTTAAAAAAGTACTTAATGATGAAGACGAAGATGAAGATACAGAACTTTTAAAGCCGAAAGAAAAAAGTCATACGGAAGAGCAGCAGGTTAATTAATTATTGTATTCATTTTAAAAAATAAATTTTGTAATAGTCATTCTAGATATCAATTATGTTTTATTATTATGCAGGAAGAAGAAAGTTACAAAGAATGGCTGAAAGGACAAAAAACAGATATCGATCCTAAAGAAGAAGAAGAATTGAAAGCGTTGCGTGACTTTTGGAATGATCCTAAATTAGATTCAAATGAAAAATTTTTAAGAGATTATGTGCTTAATCATAAATCTTTAAATCAAGAATCCTCTGACAAAGATTTAAATTATAATGAAATGATTCATGATAGCGATGAAGATTTGTCGGAAGATGAAAATCAAATAAATAAGCAAGAAGAATTCGAACATAAATACAATTTTAGATTTGAAGAACCTGATCAGGAATTTATTAAAAGGTTTATAATTATTAATAAGTAAATCATACTTCATTTTAATCATTTATTTACTTATCTATAATTTATTATTAGATATCCACGTACAATGGAGAGTACGCTTAGGAAAAAGGATACTCGTAGAGCGCAGAAAAGAGCGGAGTTGAAAAAAAGAAAACAAGAAGACAAGTTACGTCAAAAGGAAGAGTTAAAACAATTAAAAGCATTAAAAAGGAAAGAAATAGAGGAGAAAATAGAAAAACTTAGAGAAATAACAGGTATAAAAAATAAGTAAAAATATTGAGATCATATTTAATGTGACAAAGAGTAGTTATTGGATTGACTATTTATTGCTTTTTTTTTTAACAGGAAACGATGACATACGTTTTAATGATGTGGATTTGGAAGGAGATTTTGATCCGGCAGAACACGATAAAAAAATGACAGAAATTTTTGACGAAGAATATTATGCTGCGCCAGAAGATGATATGAAGCCTGAATTTCCAGATATTGATGAAGAATTAGGAGTTGATAAAAACTGGGATGATTATGATCCTAATGTTGATGAAATTGTTGATAACAATGACTATGAATATGATGCACCGCATTGTGAAGATCCAGACTTCAACGTAATGATTTTACATTATTAAATTGTAAATATGTTTGGTTGATTAATTTTGCCTGTTTTGATATTAGATGGATGCAGATTATAATGGTACACAGAATTTGCAATCAGAATTATTGGAAGGAACGAAAAAGAAGAAACGAAGAAGACGTAATAAATTTGCTGAAATTATAGCAAAAGATAAACCTAAATTTGATCCAACGAGTCATCCATCTTATGAAGAATACTTTGATCAATATTATGGGTTAGATTATGAAGATATGATCGGTGACTTACCATGTAGATTTAAATACAGGAAAGTTGTTCCCAATGATTATGGTTTAACCGTTGAAGAGGTAAATATATCATGTGGTATAAATCTATAAATATAAATAAATCATTTAATTTTAAGTATTTATAATGAATACATTATGATTTTTTTAATAAGATATTAACGGCTGATGACAAAGAATTAAATAAATGGTGTTCATTGAAAAAAGCTTTGCAATATAAGCCCGAGCATATAGAACAAAATCAAGTAAAAGAATATCAGCGGAAGGCTCAGAATGAAGAACTAAAACGGAAAATTCTTAGAAGTTTATATGCGTAAATATTCTTCATAATTATATATCGTAAAATAATATATTATTTCATTTTTAATATGATTATTTTTTAATTTTAATAGTCCTGAGGAGCCCGAAGAATTAAATGAAAGTGAACCAACAACCGAAGAAACAAAAAAGAAACGTAGACGTAAGAAGAAGAATAATAGTATTGCATCTAACGATGTTATGCCCACTGATACACAATCTCAAGACATGAAAAATAATGATAATAATTCTACTGAAACTGTAATTAATGAAAATTTAGAAAAGGAAGAAATTACGAATTCATCTGATAAGGATGAAGAAACAACACTTATCAATACTACGGAGTCGAAAAATAATAAAAAGCAGAAGCGGAAACAAAAAGAACATTTAAATGAAACTGAATCCAAGAAAATAAAAATAGACAATACAGTTAACGATGAAACAATAGAAAATAATAAAAATACTCAAGAAAATTGCATCGAAAAAGTAGATATTGATGCAAAAGCTGAGAAGAAAAACGTACCATGCGTTTCTAATAAATCTAATTCAAATAAAAAAGATAACTCACATACTAAGAAAACAAATAAATCCAAAATAAGCAAGAAGAAATTTAATAAAAATAAGAAAAAAGACGATCCAAATAGTCAAATAGTTGCAATGGATGCATCAAGATTGAAAATGTATGGCATAAATGCGAAAAAATTAAAAAACAAATTGAAATATGGGAAACAGAAATAATAGTTTTTATAATTAAGGAATTATAAGCTTGTAAATAGAAATTGATATTAACACTTTACTGATCGGCCGCTCAGCCGCAGATACTCTCTAACGACCGCTGTTTTTCGCTACACTAGCACACAGTACTACACTAGAACACAGTGTGCGTTTCGTATGCTCAGAGAGAATTGTCCGCTTTCTATTATTACAGGAAATATTAGGATATACAGGATATTACAGGATAGGATAATTAGATTTAATAAAATGTTGATAACAACAATGCAACAAAAGCAATTGTTCGGTAAGCGTGGGCGATAAAAAAGCCGATTAATAGTCGATCGGTCGGTTAGCGTTGTCGATAAAAAAAAGCCGATTAATAGGCGATCGGTCAGTAAAGTGTTATGCCATTTTATGCCATTTTATGCCATTTTATGCATATATATATATACACACACACTCATTTTTTTAAATCTTCTTTATCTTGCGATTATTTTTTTAGAACTTATCGATATTGTAGCATTTCTATTTTTTTTTCTGTTGGCTATGTAGAATACTGTATAAAATGATAATAAACGCGACATAGAGACATCTGGTTACGAGCAACCCTAAAGTTTTAAGAGAGAAAATGAGACCTTAGTATTTTTTAAGGGCTGATTTTCGTACTGTAAATGAATCTGCTTTAGAATGATAAACGATATTTGCGGATTATTAGGATTACAATGTCTGTTTACGTTCCTTTTCGAGAGGCACCATTCCTAATCCATCCCATATGGTTTACACGAGAAAAGCACCCTATGTACCACTATAGCCCCTGTATGTGAGCTTATATTTTTACCGTCAAAATAAATAGAGGGTGCATTTTTATATAGTTGGTAAAAGGAAAACTACGATAAATCGTAAATTATATTAAACCCATATTTCTTCAACATATTTACACTTTTTACAAATATTTATCATTAACTTGTAATTATTATTATTAATTATTCTTCTTTCTTTTTTCTTTTTATTATTATTATTAACTTTAACAAAGGTGCAAAACTAACGAAATACGAGAGTTGGTTGAAAAGTTTTGAGTCTCCAAAAATAAAAAACATTTTTGTTTAATAAATTTAATCGCAATAAAACATTGTTTCTAATTTAAGCTCAAAATTTGTCAACCCTCTCTTACATAACGTATCGTGGTTATTCAAAACATTTACCAATTAATTGTAAGATAAATTTATAAATTGATATGTTTATTTATTTATTTGAAAAAGAAACTATATGAGACGATTTGTTTGTAATTTAACCAACAATACGAGAAAGAAAGAGAGTCTCGATTAAATAATTTCTCGAAGGAGGGTGTGAGGGATAAGAAAGGTTCGATAGATCCCTCTTCTACATTCTCTTTTTCCAGTATGCCCATGGGTGCGATAAATCAATCCCTTTGGCTCAACTACTATTCTTCCATAGTAGCAGGTGGCCTCGAACAGTCACCGACGTTCGCGCCCTTAATTCCCAATTAATACTATCCCCTTAACAAAAACGTGTGTTCGAACAACTTCTCCCTTCGTACTACGTCGTACGTAGTATGTAATGTGGGGGTGGGGGTGGGGGTTACTTACCGCGAAAACGTTCCACTTATTATTATTCGCATATCAACGATTATTATCGAAGTGAAATTCAATATAAAAAAAACAAGAAAAAAAAGCTATCATCCTGATATTATCATATTGATTATTATAGCTAAACTATAATTTGTAAAGAAATTACATTATTATTATTATTATTATTATTATTATATGAGGTGATAGGGTTGAAAAGTTTTCAGTTTTAAGAAAACAAAATATTTTATTATTTATATTTTAAATAAAAATGAATTTGAGATCGAAAAGTAAAATTGTTTCCACGTTAGGGCTAAAAAATTGATTGATTTACATATTTTCTATAATTTAATTTTAATAACGATACTTTTTTGTTTCTTTTTTATTAAAGGGTTCGTTTTATAGTGTGTAATTACTACATTACTATCTATCGAGTTATATACATATAGGTACTTATCTAGTTGAATTTTACGGACTGACGCCTCCATCTGCACTTATCCCTTCCTTCCTATATGCATGGGGAACTGTAATTGAGATGAGCCTGTATTCCCCTATATTCCTTCTAATTGGTGGAAAATTGTTAGGGGTGAGTACGTGACAATCGATCGTATCTTGTTAACCGATCAGAAAATTAGATATCAAACGATTTAAATGATTATAACTTTGTTCTCTTTGAACACAATTGGAAATTTTTATTATTTCTTTTTTTTTTTTTTTTTCTTTTTTTTATATTAATCAATTTCTTTGAAATATTTTATATTGTTAATGAGAATGAACGAAAATTTATTTTATATTGTTAATAAAAATTATTTAAACATTTTTTTTAAAGTTTACTATATTCATTCGATAATTCTACATCTTGGATTAAAGCTTGCGGTGGTACGTTTCCAACTTGAATTAAAATAATGAGATAAGTTGTTACTGTACTGATCACCTAAAAATAATAATAATATTTATTATTATTTATCCACAATATAATTTAAATTTAAATTTAATAATTAATAGAGTAGAAATTATATTATTTGAACGAACGTTACGTATCAATGTGTGATTCAAATAAAAAAGGCCACAACTTGTAAACGACAATGGGTTTTGAAGAAGTTGTGAAGTAAAGTCACGAATCTACAAAAAAAAAAAATATTACAAAATGTTAATAATAATATAATTTGGATTGATTTTTAAATTTATTCATTGAAATACCTCAGCACGAAATTCCTTGCTCGTTGACGGTTCGTACAATTCACAAAGTGCATCTCCGGTGTTCATCGCATGTAAAAAAAAAAACAAAAGAAAATAAAAGCTTTGTTTATTGCCGAGTATGAAAACTTTTCAACCCATCCTCGTATAAATACAAAAATATAACGAATACTTAAAAAACATATACCTCTTTAACAGTTGACTCGCAAACATGACTTATTATAATAATTTTTAATCCGAAGTATGTCATCCAATAGAAATGAATAATAATTTGTGCTGTATGAGTACGATAGGCACCAGTAACTATTTGATTATATAAATTGTAAGCAATAGTTGTTGTTAAAACGAAAGCTATTGACGTGGACATTAAAATATGTAATCCATAGGCATCATTTATATTTCTTGCACATTTTATTAATTCCAGGTGTATCTCTCTGAAGTAAATTAATGAAAAAAAAAAACAAACAAACAAATATATATAATTTATATAATGTTATTTAGTTTAATTATAATAATATTTGAGTAATATATTAATTACCTGATTTTTTTAATCTTGATAAGATCTTTGTTAGATTCGTACGTTTTATGAATATCATACGATGGGGAATCGTATTTTCTATTATTTTTCATTCGAAGAACCCTTTTGTGTTGCGGCGAATCGATAGTAGTCGTTAGCATGTTTTTTAATACTTCGTTCAATTGACCAAATCTTATTTTGACAAATCTAATTAACGTTTTAAGGTAATTTTTTTAATTTAAGACTCTCTTTTTTTTTAAACCCTCTCCCTTCTTTTTATCTAATTCTTATTTATTTTTTGTTTTGTTTTCATTATCATTAAATAATAATAATAAATCTT